CAAATCCGGATTCCATTGATGGCATCTTTTCCTTGTAGAAGTCAACGATTTCGAAAAGCGAGCTTTCAGATGGATTGAATTTGGCTTTAATCTCAAAGGAAGCAGTTAGTTTCAGAGTAGGAATTTGTAAGAAATCCTAACAATCCCACAACACCGCCAGCAAAATAGTCGTAAAACTTGTCTTCTCATTGAGGTACTTGAGGAATGGCGACCAGACCCGATAGCGGAATCTTTTTGCCACTTTTTATTTTCTGGATAACTTATTGCTCTTTTTCCGCTTTTGCAATACTTCTGAAAAATTTTATGGATAAGACTTTTAAATTTAAACTCAAAACTAGAGGCCATCGGAAACATGAGAATAATTGTTGTAACCAAGAGGACATTCCTCTAGAAAAATATATTCAAAAAGCTGAAAATACAGTATTTGTTGGATTTGCAACCTTCCATTTGGTACAATCCATTGGCTTCACTACCAATGTTTTTCGGGAAACGTGCTACGAGAATGCCAAACAATCATCTACTGCATTGATTATGCATGATAATTATGCTACTGCAAAGCAATGGACCTTGATGCGATAACTCGTGACAGCCTTAAGATCTTCATGTTCACTTTTCAAAAAGAGCACTACGGGATACTGTAAAATCTATTATTGACCTTTTCAATGAAAATAGTCATTCAAAGTCAAGGAAATCTGAATCATTTGAAGCTTTTCGAAAAAAATGAATTTTGAATTTGATCAACTTTTTTTGGATTAAACGAAATCCAAACTTCATCCAAACTGGATTTTTTGTAGTACAAAATGGTGAATATCACTGAGGAAGTATCCCAGAATTTTTCCATTTGTCTGAAAATTTCAAATTACATATACTAAACAGAAATAGAGCTTTAATTTTGTAGTTGACTACTTTTTCGCCAAATCCCATTCTGATGAGATACGCCGTTTTTTTCAGTGCTAAAAATTAGCACTGAAATCATAAATTTTTATTTTTCAGTGGAAAATAGACCGATGTTGAAGTCCTTGAAATTTTTGATTTATCAAATATCTTTTAAAATTTTGATTTTTTGGGTTTTTAAACTACAGCAACTTCCATGGATAAAAAACATTTTTCATTTTCAACTTTTTTTTTAAATCAAAAATTTCTGGAATACTGTAGCATTAGCATTACCCATTCTCATTAATTTTTTTCAATCTTTATGACCTTTTTCATCTCCCCGATAAATGACCTTTTTCGGTGCACTTTTTTCTCTGACTTTTTTAAAATGTTAAAATGCGCAAATAAAATTCAGTGTTTCAAATTTTTATTGAATGCGAGAGTTCAAAAAAAAAACTACAGTAACAAGCTAGGGGTACAACAGGGTAGTTATAGAAAAAAACACAGTAAACAAGAATATATTGATAACAGAAATTTAAAATTATGATAATTTTGCCTTTGCCGTCTTTGATTCCAATAACATTTTTAACAAAGAAAATTCCAAATTCAGGATATTTTTTGTTGTTTTCATAGGATTTTCGATGGAGCACAACTTCCCCCAATAACTGTGATCGGCTCAGATTTAAAAGGTTCCAGAAGGTCCTGACGGTAAGCTTCGACTTTCTGGAAAAAAAGAGTTCAGAAAATTCAAACGATCCTCCCAAAAAATGGGAGTCTCAACAAACCTGGGTGATTTCCTTTGCATGCCTTGGATAAATCTCCACCTTTTCCAGATACTGATCCTGATGGGCATCTTTCAGCCCTTCTTGCCGTTGGAACCAGTCGACGATGTTCCGATTTCCGATTTTCCAAGACGTCATGGTCGAATAGGAATGCTACCTGGAACTAAACAATAATTTATTCATTTTTAGTACCAAAAAATATATGTTACCTGAACATTCCCATCAACAGCGTTGGTAGGAAGTGGAGCCTCGATTTCAAACAATTTCGTGGCTATGGCTGCCAAATAAAGTTCCTTGAATACCAAAATGAATCATGTTGACTTCAACACGTAGGTTCCAAAACTTGTGTAGCTATTCATGGAATACATAGTTAACAAAAAATAATCTCAGAAAAATAAGAAAGGATATTTGTCCGACGTCCATGCAGAAGGTCGTCAGGAAAAATATTAGGGAGGGGAGGTGTTACATGAGGTGGAAAGGCATATTAATCATAGGTACTCGGAGGTATTTATAGGGACAGCCGAGGGGGCGGAGTCGACGCCAGGTGGGCTGTCTGCACCTATGCATAGTTTTATGGTTGTAATGTAGACTTTTATGGTAATACTGCATGGTTTATGACAGTCAGAGTGAGTTTACTGGCAATGTCTCTGAATTCTTTCCAGAATAAATGTCCATTGTGTTCGTAAATAAGAGAAAAGAGAAATTGAGAGAAAAAATGTGTTCCAGATGCTAAAGTAAGATGGGATATGAGGAGAATGTCGAAAATCGTTGAAATTTCCATATTTGAATGTTTTTTGAACATCTAGGTCAAAATCTCGAAATTTGAAATGCTGAAAAAACGGTTGGGTTTGTTTTTTTAAGGCTAAATTTATAAAAAATATGATATTCACGTTTCCATTTTTCAGATTTTCAGAAAAATATTTAGGTCAAATATTCAAAACTTGGAATCTTTAAAACACGTTAAACTTTTTTGTTCTTCTGAATAAATTCGTATAAAAAACTCACATATTCGTTTCTTGAATATAATCTAGTATATATTCAGTTAATGTTTATTGATACGACTTTAAAACAAAAAAAAAAGCGTTACTTTTGAAATTAGTTTGTTATTCCTCTCAAATTACATTTGTTAAAATATTATTTTAATAAACTGAAAACAAATTCACGTGTTTTTGTAATTACCACCCAGTCCCTTTTTATGTGGACATTTCTCCAAGGAAAAATTATCCTTGCACAATGGAATCTGTCAGAACTATAATCGTAAAACAATAGGTGTGATGTAATCTGTCATTCTAATTGACACTCCATATGATGGGCTGAAGACGTTACATTGTTGTTTAACCACACCTGGTGGTGTACTACAGTCCTCTCTCCGCTGGGTAATGTGTTAGTAAGTGTGTGGAAACAAATGAGAGGCTTCATTGATTTTCCGATGCAGAGGAAAATCAATGGAGTCGCCTCTATGTTCTCCAAACACATACCACCTCATTTCTTCTCACTGACAACCTACTGAATGGACGTCTAACTTTCCTCTCCAAAAAATCCTAAAAGAGAACGGATTTTGGAGAGCTCATTTTGATTTTTCTGATTATTCACTATTCCCTATAATATTCTAGTTATATTCTAAAAATCCAAAAATTTCCTATGATTCATCGTTGCTGAAAGTTCTATTAACAAATGGTGAGTTTATTTTTTGAATTTTGAGCATGGTGAGAAAAAAACCATTACCTGCTGACGTAAATTTATGTCATTAGATTCGGCAGGGAAGTGAACACTGAATGGAAGAATAAGAAAATTATGAAAGGTCACAAATTTTGCATCCGGTATGTACTATATCTCGATCACAACTTCAGATTAAAATTTACCCTATAGATGATTGGATTGCAGTCCGATGAGTGCAAAAAGTATTATCGTTTTGTTTATAGTTACAATTCTAGGGAACCTACTTTTTTGAAAATTCTGAGGGTTTTGTTTCTGACTGATATCCAATTTTAGCCAGTTCTACAGGTTCAATTAAATGTTTGCAATATTTTTCAGAACGTTGCCAATTTTCACGATTTCTTCGCGTCCCATACCAGCTCAAAAATTTTGAACTATGTCCAGGAGTTTATTTAAAACTTGAACAAACCACAACTCTATCAAAAAATCTAAAGACTCCAAGGTCCAAAACGGATTTACATTTGGAGAACAGCGGGTTCGGCTCAGTTAACCACAATTTGGGACCAGACCCATGTCTTTGGTATGGAGTGCCGTTCGAATACGCAGGAGTATTTCAAAGGTTGATGACGAAAATATTGAATTTGAACCATATCAACGAACAGGATTTCTATGCTCACTCATACTGGGGCATTGAATCGAGTTGTACCCTAAAGGGCATCCCTGTACAAAAATGTATCCAAAAAGCTGGGAATACTGTATTCGTTGGAATTGGAACCTTCCACTGGGTACAATCTATTAGCTTTGCTACCAATGGTTTTTGGCAAATGTGCTAGAGAGAATGCCATACAATCTTCTACTGCATTGATTATGCATGATAATTATGCTGCTGCAAAACAATGGACCTGGATGCCTGTTGAAACAATTTTATGGAACATGTTATTCGGAAAGATTAAAGTGGAGGACAAGATGACGAAATTCATGAGAAGCGCTTTAATGCGGTAAGTTAATAACACAGTATTTTCATGTTTCCGATGACAAAAAAAACCTTATTCTTAAAAGTTTTTCAGAAGTCTTACAAAAATTGAAAGAGAGCTACAAATCATCCAGAAGAAAAAACATGAATATGGCCGGTCCAATAGCACCAGAGTGCGTCTAAGTTGTTGAAAGATGCATCTTATGTGTCGATTGCCTCATGTTTCATGTATTCCTATGTTGGATGGAATGCAAGGGCAGTCTACGAGCAATTTAATCCAAAAAAATTGCAAAGGAA